AAGACCCATTTAGTTCTAATTATGTTGAATCCTTTTGGTCTTGGAACCAAATCCCACACATCGTTTCTTGTGAATTGATTGAGCTCTTCTTGCATGGCAATAATTCAGTCATTGTCTTGCAGAGCTTCATCCACAGAAGTTGGTTCAATAACTGACACCAACCCAAATAATGATGCTTTAGAAGATCTGAGGAAGGATCTTGTTCTAATATGGTCATCCTTCTTTCCAATGATCACATCCTCTGGGTGAGAAGCCTTGATTCTGGAAGATGATCCTCTAACAGTTGATTCTTCATAAATGTTCAAGTTGTTCATCTGAGAAGCTAAAGGAATTGCATCTGGCGTTACTTCAGGTTCCTTCACTTGAGCTTTATCTGCCTCTGAGCCTTCAGAGTCTGTGAGAATTACTTCTCTATCTGCAGAACTTTCAAACTGCTTTGGCTTTTCAATGCCAAGCTTATCATCAAATCTAACATGTATAGATTCCTCCACAATCTGTGTTTCAGTATTGTATACTCTGTAGCCTTTAGAGCGTTCAGAATACCCAAACATGAAACACTTATGTGCTTTAGAATCAAACTTGTTAAGATTCTCTTTAGTATTCAACATATAGCAAATACATCCAAAAGGATGGAAATATGAAATGTTGGGCTTTCTGTTCCTCCACAATTCATAGGGAGTCTTTTCCAGAAGAGGTCTTACAGACACTCTGTTCTGAATGTAACATGATGTGTTTATTGCTTCTGCCCAAAAATGCTTTGCCAGATTAGTCTCGTTGATCATGGTTCTGGCCATTTCTTGCAGAGTTCTATTTTTCCTCTCTACAACTCTATTCTGTTGTGGAGTTCTAGGACAGGAAAAATCATGAGCAATGTCATTTTCATTAAAATATTTTTCAAAATATTTGTTTTCAAATTCACCACCATGATCACTTCTGACTTTAATAATTTTGAAATCTTTTTCATTCTGGACTTGTTTGTAGAAGTCAAAGAACACAGAATGTGACTCATCCTTGTGTTTTAAGAACTTTACCCATGTCCATCTGCTGTAGTCATCAACAATGACTAATCCATACTTCTTGCCTCTGATGGATGCAGTTTTCACTGGTCCAAACAGATCAATGTGAAGTAATTCTAATGGTCTTGAGGTTGAAACAACATTTTTAGATTTAAAAGAAGATTTTGAAAATTTTCCTTTTTGACATGCTTCACAAAGAGCATCTGAGTTGAACTTCAGCTTAGGAAGTCCTCTGACCAGATTGAGTTTATTAATCTGAGATATACGTCTCATATTAATATGCCCCAATCTTCTGTGCCATACCCATTGCTCATCATTAACAGATAAGAGGCATTTAACATTTTGAACTTTAAGTTCTAAAAGATTTATTTTGTAAATGTTGTTCTTCCTCTTTCCATTAAATAGGATTGAGCCATCCTTCTGACAAACAACTTTTCAACATTGTTGATTAAAGATTATATCATAACCATTGTCACTTAATTGACTTATGGACAATAGATTATGCTTTAATCCATATACAAGAAGAACATTAGATATAGAGGGAAGGTTACCATTACCAATAGTACCAGAGCCAATGATCTTGCCCTTCTGATTCCCTCCAAACTTCACTTCTCCTCCAGATTTAAGCTTCAGGCTTTGGAACATAAACCTTTCTCCCGTCATGTGACGTGAGCAGCCAGAGTCCAGGTACCATGACTGGCGTTTTGACTTTTCTGCTAAAAACATCTCTTCTGAGTCAGATTTAGAATCAGACTTAGATGCAGATGATTCTTCATTCTGATCTTCAATGCCTGCCATCAGAGCCATATTGGCGCATTCATCTTCAGATTCTGATGAGGATCCAGATTCATCAGAGTCATCCCATGTAACCATTAGAACTTTCTTCTTATGCTCAGGCTTTCTTCTGGGATTTTCTTTCTGAAGCTTTGGACATTCACTTTTATAATGACCAGGTTGTTTGCATTCAAAACAAACAACTTCCTTCTTTCCAGATCTTTTTGGTCCAGAGGACTCCTTGCGCTGATCTGGCTTTTTGAAGTTCTTGAACTTCCTCTGCTTATGCTTCCAGAGTCTGTTGATTCTTCTGGACATCAAGGATAGTTCATCTTCTTCTTCAGAAGAAAAAGATTCTGCAGAGCTTTCTTCTAACACCTGCAAAGCTTTCACAGATTTGTTAGAATTTAAGGCAGTAGACTTACCTTTCTTTTGAGGCTTATTTTCCTCAAGTTCAATTTCATGGCTCCTTAGAGAGCTGATTAGCTCTTCCAGAGTGATCTTGTTCAGATCCTTTGCAAGCTTCAAAGCAGTGACCATAGGTCTCCATCTGATAGGCAAGCTTCTGATGATCTTTTTCACATGATCAGCAGTTGAGTAGCCTTTGTTCAGAACTTTTAGACCAGCTGTAAGGATCTGGAATCTAGAGAACATAGTTTCAATAGACTCAGATTCTTCCATCTTGAACGCTTCATACTTCTGTATTAACGCCAGAGCCTTGGTCTCTTTCACTTGAAAGTTTCCTTCATGAGTCATCTTCAAGGACTCAAACTTGTCAAATGCAGTTTCTCTATTTGTGATCTTTTCATACTCAGTGTGAGATATTTCTAGCTTCGTGGTGATTTCTAAACTCCTTCTTTTGGGCTTCAGTTATAGATTTTATGTCTACTTTCTTGTCATTCCCATCAGTGGGATGAACATATCCATCTATGACCAAGTCTCATAAATCAGCATCATAACCAAGGAAGAAACTTTATATCTTGTCCTTCTAATAATCAAATTTCTCCCCATCAAACATAGGGGGTTTAATGTTGATTCTGTCCCTTTCTTCATATCTGTTGTTACTGTTAGATGTTGAAGTTTCAGCCATAATAACAACCAAATATATATCAAAGTTTTTCTCACTGGATCTTTTCTGTCACTGTGAAGTGGTAGCACACACAGAACCGGAGCTCTGATGCCAACTGAAGGTGAGAAAATATTTAGAAGGGGGTTGAATAAGTATGTAGAAAAACTTTTAGAATAAAAACTCAAGGATTTTTATCCTGGTTCGTTGAACTCAACTACTCCAGTCCACCCTTATCAAGAGTGATTTGCCTTTCTCAAACAAGGACTTAATCCACTATTAAATCAACTGATTACAATAGTAAGCACTAAGAACAATTGTTCAAAGTCTTCTCAAGAACTACTGATCCTAACTGGATCTTCTTAAGGTTCTTTTACAATCAAATAAAAGAATAATACAAGTGTTTGATTTGCTTCTAATAAAGCTTTATCACAACTGTGATTTTTCACTTAAGATAAAGAACAATGAAATAAATTCAGCAAGTGAGTATAAGTTGTATGAGAGCTTGTAATGAATTCTTTCAAGTATTTCGTCAACTGAAGAAGATGAATGGAGTCTTGCTTTTATAAGCACAGAGGTCCAAGTAGCTTTTCACGTTGAAGGCTGTGTACTAAAAAGGTCTGAGCCTTTTTGTCTTCACATCACATGACCTTTCCTAGAAGTAGAATGCACAGAAAAATCCTTTTTGTCTATGTTTTTGTGTCTAGCATAAATGAGGAAAGAGTCGTTTGGTCATTCCAACGGACATAACTTTGAATTCTTCTTCAACAAGTTTCAGCAAAAATCATCAGAGTCTAGATTGATCAGAGCCTTTTGATGTTCATCAGAGTTTGCTGAATCAGAGTCTTTGCAGCAGGTGTGCTTTCAGCGTGTATTTGTTCAGAGCAGAGTTTGAGATCAGATCCTTAGTACTGGCAGAATTAGTACTATCAGAGTCTTATGAAATAACTGTGCTTAAAACTCTTCATATAGAATTCTTTAATGCTTCAGATGCTTCTGACTTCTGCTTCAGATTCTTCTGTAACTTATGCTTCAGATCCTTCTGTAGACAGCGCTCAGAATCTTCTGTAGGTAGCGTTCAGAATCTTCTAACAGATGCTTCTGAGGTTTCAGAGCCTTGCATAATTTTCATGTTCATATCTAATTTGCTTCCAGAGTAATATTCACTTTAACATCTGCAGCAAACATTCTCAAACAAATTTTAGAGTATATAATTCTTTAATACAAAATTTCATAAGAGTTATCATCAAAACATAGAGATATTATTAAGAACAAATCTGTGTTCTAACAATCTAAACCTTAATTTCTTAAGTTTATCCGGATCCTTCTTATACTTTGATGGTAATATCTCTTAAATATTCACATTTGACCACATATTCATCTCATTGATAGAGTAATATTATTTTCATAACACCTTTAATATGCTTCTCTCATATAACATGCATCAACATATAATTATAAATTAAAACTCCGATAATACATGGTAGAAACAATATGTCTACAAGGAAGTTAAATCTACAATTTATTATTGAATTTTTCATAACCACAAAATTAAATTTACAAATATAATTATTGTTGAAACTACATATAGAAAAATATATTTGAAAGATTTTTTTTTAAACCATTAATAGGTAATTTAAAAGTATTTTCATAACCTTAAATTCAACAATAAATTGTAAATTTAACTTTGCGGTTAGAAAATACTTTTAAATTAATAGTCAAAAGAAATTCTTCCAAAGGTCCTTTCCTTTATGTAATTTATCTAGTTAAAATATGAAGTCCAAGTGTAGTCAAAGTGATGAATGTGTTGACAGAAAATCGAGACAAAAATTAGATAGCATAATAAATGCCAAATTTAACCACCTCTTGCTTTGCCTTTGAGAGAGAGACACACAAAAACATGTTTTCTATAAAGCTAGTACTACTACTAATTAACCACCCTCAATGCCCTTTAACACACCAACGAGGGTCCTCTCTCTCTCTCTCTCTCTCTCTCTCTCTCTCTCTCTCTCAACACAAACACAAACACAAATCGATAAACTTAACTACTCACATTCGGATCTCACTTCACTAATCACTCACACATATCAAACATCATCACTTCTTCTTCACTTCAAAGGCTTCAACTAACCTAATATGCATTCATGGCTTCACTTTATTCACATACCTTCTTTATCATACTTCTTCTCCATCATTTCCTTCATCCAGCTTCAAGCGCAATTCATCAACCAAGGGTAAACCATTCTATTCTACACTCTTCAATAATTTCATGCATGTAAAATTGTTTGAAACGTGTGTGTCATCCACTTGTGCAGGAATTGTTATATGAAGAGAAAAACAAGCTAGGTTCAATTCCCCCAAGCTGTCACAGCAAATGCAACGAGTGTCATCCATGCATGGCAGTTCAAGTTCCGTCTTTACCAAACCCTTCTCATCTCACCAAAACTTCTTCCATGAAAAAATGGCTCACTCCATCTTTACAAGGTACTAATAACAGATATTCAAATTACAAACCATTAGGATGGAAATGTCATTGTGGTGACCACTTCTTCAACCCATAATAATCACAAGATCCAAGATTTTGCTTTTTTTTTTTCTAAATTATTTATTTTTGTTGCTAAAAAAATTAATGTGGTTAATGCTTGCGTCAGCATTGGTTGTATACAAGTAGTACACATGTACAAAGTTTGTTATAGACCTGAATTGCTAGTTGATGAGTAGCTGTATCTATATATATTGAGAAAAGGTTTTGTGTGGGTTGAATTTATGATAAGGGATGTGATTGATTGGTGTCTATAGACTATAGTCTCTACTTGCAATTTACGATGATTATTTGGTAATTTTCTGTCAGAAAAGAGGACAAGAGAGAGGGTTGTCTTGTCAATTGCAATTGTCCCTTTCCCTCTTTTCGAAATCTGTTGTGGATCTGTCTCTTATCATCAACTTTTGCTTATCTTCTCAATCAATATATTTATGGATTTTGATTCTCACCTTATCCATAAAATGCCCATTTATACTATAGTATATTCCTTGTTAGAATTTCTCAATTTTATATACTTAGTTTAAGGGTAATGTTAGTAACATGTGCCCTTAAGAAATCCACCAATAAAATGTTTGTATTAAAAAATATAATAAAAAACTTAATATATAATTTTCAAAAAAAAAGTTTTTAGATTTAACTCATAAAAAAATTACTAATATATAATTTTAAAAAAAAAAGTTTTTACATGTGTTTTTAAGACATATGTTAATATTACCTAATCTATAATGTTACATTTTGTAGATGATCATCTTTCACTGATTTTTAAAAAACTTTAAATTTGATTATATATAAGATTTTTTAAAATAATAAATAATCACGAAGGTTGTCAGAGTTTAAGCAACGTGGTAGGCTGCAAATGTACCGCTTGAATTCTGAAAAGATTAATCGACAAATATTATTATCTATTATTATTGTGTATATTGAAGGTTATGTGTATGGTTTGTTTTAGCAAAATAATGTAGTAAAATCAGTTTAAATTAATCAAATAACAAGAGATCGAAAAGTTGATTGTGATCTATTAATTGTATTCATAAGATTCTTAAATATGTTAAAAATTGAAATGCATATATAAAATTACTATGAAGGAAGATTTTTATTTGATACAACTACAATGTCAAAATAGAAATTGAGGAAGCTAAATAATAGTAGCAAAAAATTAAACTTGCAACCACAAAGAATTTTGAATTATTCAAAATATAAATTACATTAACACTTCAACGTGAAGTATTAATGCTTTACAAGAGTGTACTTATGGCTAAATGCAAGTTTGCATGCAAACATAAGTGTTTAAATGATCTATTTATAGGCAAAACTTCGCTAAGGAACTGTAAGATCTTGCAAAAGTAAGTGGGAGAAAGTGGAGAAAAATTTGCATCTCTGGTGCTTTTTTTTTGTTTAAGACATCATGACGGGCGCCAGCTTGGCTAACGGTCTGTCCGTCGTGACTTCTTCAAATGGGCTCTATGTCCTAGGACCGTGACGAACGTCAACTAGGTGTGCCTGTCATGCGACTTGGACACGCGCTCTTTGTCTTCATGCTTGTTAGCTGACGATCTTCCTTGTAGAGATCATGATGGCCGCCATTGCCTGTCTAGGCCCTTCATGACAGTAGAAAATTCAATATTCTTTTATTTCTTTTGTCATTTTTCATCGTTTTCCAACGGAGAGACTTCTAAGAGATAAATACCTGAAATACATAGTAGAAAATTAATATAACACTGTAAAAGTGTACAACTGTACCCTAAAACAAGAACTAATCGAGCTAAATAAGTGGTGAAATCTATATTTTATCAAACTCCCCCACACTCGAACGGTTGCTTGTTCTTAAACAACTTAGCTTGCATACAGAAACGATGAATGCACCAACACAACATGAAAAGAACTCATGAAAAGCAGCAACACTAGTACTCATAAGTGGCTCTAAATTTGAATCGGCTAGAGGTTAATTCCATATATAGGTACTAATTCTAACACCAAGGATATTGTAAAAACACAAACCGCATTTTACGGACAAAAGTCTCCCTCCAAGTATACCAATTCAAATCATATCATTGTATCTTAGTTTCACTATCCTAATTCTTTCATCCTCATTCATTCAAGACAGACACATTAATACACTTAGGTATATATGTAATCATCACACATGGTAGAAAATTTGGTAAGTGTTTTTATTCATGTATTTGCACTTAGACTTTTGATTAAAGACGCACATGTTTTATTCGTATTTTTAAGGTTCAACCATCTTTGGGTTAAGTAACCGAGTGAGGGTTAACACTTATTAGATGCAATTTCATGTTAAGTATAACAAGTGTGAGTAGTATGGGTAATAGTTTCACATTGGCTAGGAATGTGAAGAGTTGAACATTTATAAGTTGGAGAACCCATACACCTATCACCTTAAGGTTTTGGGTGAATATGTAGTGCGTCTCTCTAGAAAAAAAGTTCTGCAATGTTCAATGCTCCCTAGTATGCAAATCTCTTCAACAGTGACATCACGAGCCTTTGGTTTGAGTGAAGGACCGACTCACTTGTATCAATTGTACTCCACATAAGTGGTGCATATGAGGTGTCTTGTTGAAGAGTGTCAACAACGGTACAAGTGTATGTGGATGAAAAAGAGCTTCCGCTTAAGGGGGAGCATTGTGGAAATATTGTGGTTTAGACTCACACTTGAGGAGGAGTGTTAAGTATAACAAATGTGAGTAGTAAGGGTAATAGTCCCACATTGGCTAGAGATGTGAAATGTGAGTAGTAAGGGTAATAGTCCCACATTGGCTAGAAATGTGAAATGTGAGTAGTAAGGGTAATAGTCCCACATTGGCTAGAAATGTGAAGAGTTGAGCATTTATAAGTGGGAGAACCCATACACCTATCACCTTAAGGTTTTGGGCGAATATTTGGTGCGCCTCTCACAAAGGTGTTGCTCTAGAAAGAAAGTTCTACAATGTTCAATGTTCCCTAGTTGAAAAACTTTCCCAACATTTTCTTTATTTTGTTTACGCTTCAATTTTTTTTAAAAATTGTTCATCGACTAGCCCACTTAATGTGTGACTCTATATTATGCCTAGATGGATAGATAAACTACTTAAGGATTACTATGAAAAGGGTGTTCGAAGACTAAGGAACAAATGGTATTTAAATTGATATCCATATTCAGGAAGTTTTAGGTGTTGAGACAATATTGATTTTGCTAAAAAAATTCCAAAGTGTACTTAACCTTAGTCGTTGCTTCTTTGGGACTGGTATACTTTCCTAGCTAGCTACTAATCACAAGTCCTTTAAAAAAATGGATGGTTCAAGAAATGATTTTTTTGCAACACAATCAAAATCACACGCTTAAAGACTCGACAACACATGCAAAGACTCAATAACAACTAAATTAAACATCAGAATGAAAATCCTTAACTAAAAAGCAAAGAAATCATAATTAGAAAGCAATAAATCTAACTAATATAACAGGTAGATTCCTCCCACACACTCGAATTGAACATTGCCCTCAATGTTCGCGAAATAAGCGAAAAGAAGGAAAGATAAAACTTGAAGATTCACGCCTTCATGCAACTGACAGGTATCAAGTGATCTATCTCTTTATTTTCAGCAAATTCAAAAAAATAAAAGCAAAAACATTAAATTAAAAACCTGTGGGATGCCTCATGCCTCATACGATGCGCTTTGTTTAGAGTCAGATAGGTCGACTTTACTTGACCCTCTAAATAAAGATGGCGCCTCTTTCAACTAAGAATCCTTAACATCATTCCAATCTACTTTGGGGCTCCATTTGAACATCCACAACCATTTTCCATGTAGTTTACCGTTGCTTATATGCCTTTTATGGGGAGGTTCATACATGTGGTATGTTGGTAGAGGTCTCTTCTTCTCCTTTCGTACTACCCCTTATGCTAGTGTAAAACCTTCTTTCTTAAAGTCCTGGTCTTGAGTAGCACGACTTCCATATAGCGCCTTCTCGTATGCCTTAGCTCATTTGTTTTTTCTATCTTGGGTGGTATTACTCACTAGGTATGCTTTTTCTATGTCAGTTGGGACTTGTTCAAAGGGGGCTCATCAATATATTTTTCAACTATGTCGAATATAAAATAAGAGTTCTAAGAGGTGTCGCGGTAGGAAAAATTATTGAGATTAAGTTATTGATTAACTTAACTCAGAAAAGTAAAAGTCGCCACCGAACTTTATTAATTCTAAAGAGAAAAGGGAAAAGGTAAAAAAAAAACAAAAAGAGAGAGAGATCTGGATACGGGGGTTGGTTATGCAAGGGATAAGATATTAGCACCCCTCACATCCATTGTACTCAACGGTAACCACTTGCAAATCTATATTTATAAAAAGCTTGATTGTTTGTTGATTGATTTTTAATGAAAATACGTTTTGTCGTATTCGATTGGAAAACTCAATTTACTATCCACAAGTGAAATTCCAGCACAAGAATACAAATGTTGTATATGATGTCAGAACAACAGGATGTTGAAAGCAAAGTCAAGACATCATAACAACACAGTAAAACAATGAACAATTTAAATAACACGCTAGAAGTAAATAACACATATTAATTGTTAATCCAGTTCGGTGCAACGTCACCTACATCTGAGGGCATCCAAGCCAAGAAAGAAATCCATTATAATAGTATTAGTTTGAAGTTCTAAACAACCTATGATTTTACAAACTTCACACCTAATCACTACTCGTGGAATTTCTATCTAAGATTCTCCTAGATATGAGACCCCTCTCACTCCTTCTCAATCACACAATAATGATGACAACGAAAACATTCAAAGAGGAGACACACTCATAAACATAATCCACTTTTGCTTAAAAGTTTATGAGTAATTCACAATTACAATTCAACTATTAGTCCAGCTCTAGCATCAAGGTGATATGAGAGTGGCTTACAAACAACAAAAAATAAACTAAACTCTAAAAATCTCTCACACACGATACGAATGCCCTCTTCTTAGGTTTAGAGTCATCCTTTAAATAGCCTCAGAATAACACGTGCTTCAAACT